TGGACTGTAATTTCTGGAACAGTCTACAAACTGAACCATCACACTGTGACTGCTTTATTTCTTTGTTACAGTAGCAGTCTGTCAACAGTGAGAGGAACCAAAGAGAAAGAAAGTCACCTCCATGTTTGTGCCCTCTGAGTTTCCTCTGGTCCTCAAACCTGTGGAACAAACAAAGGATGTTCCTCTGTTAGAGGGAGCAATCATTCAAAGTGCACGTGAGGCTGAAGATCACTGCTGCCCCTCCTGTTCTTTCATCCTGCTTAGTTGGACTTTATTAGGCTTCATTTTAGACTTTGCCTTCAGAATCAAAGACTCACATTTGCTCGAGTCTCCTCCTGTGTACTGAAGAAGTGATCCACAATAATTATACTATTTTACAGTTTTCATGGGTCGTGTAGTCAGAATATTTTTCCTGCTTTTACTTCACACGTCTGAAGCAGAGAACATCTGGATCTGATCCTGCTGACAGTGTCCAGAGTTCATGTGTGACACAGTTTAGGATTCAGTTACTTCCAGTGTTTAACATCATCTCTACAAGTCACTCCACTCTCCTCTTAGAGCCCAAAGTGGACAAGCAGGATGAAATATTTCGATGTTTGACTGCAGCTGTTTGAACAGACTTCAAGTGAAGTGAAAAAAGAGTTTTTGGTTAGAAACGAGACTTCCTGTGTCTCGGCTGTCTTACCTCTGCTGCTCTTCCTCTTGATGCAGATTATTAGAACAGTCAGTGATGAGAGGATGATGATGATGAGCAGAGAGATGATTACATACAGCAGCACACCTGTGACAGCAGAACAAGCTTGTTTTACATATTGATTGATGAGCTGCACATGTAGTGAAATAACAGACGTGAAACGAAGAAACAAACAGATAAAAGTTCTACATGAACAAGAGGAGCTCACAGAGAATTTAGAAAAAGAAAACGAGTTTGGCACAACGTCACACTCACATCATAATTCTGATTAGAAAAGCTGCCACACAGGACAGGCGGATTAAAAACATACTGTCTTCTCTCATAGATGGATGTACCTGCAGATGCTGCTCTTTCAGGCTGCTCAGTGCTTCCAGTCAAAGTTAATGAAGGTGTGCAGCTTCCTGTAGTCGTGGCTGATGGTCCAGCTGCTGAACAAGAGCAGAGAGGAAAGTTTGACTTATAAATGTTTGGAGCTGTGAAGAAGAAAAACACAAAGATTCAAAAATCAGCTGAGAAATCAAACGAGCCTTAAATGGATCCACTGACTGAGAAAAA